ACTCCGGTGCGCATAGGCAATTTCCGTCGCTAGCCAGGACACCCTGCAGAACGCGGCTGTGCTTATACAGGACGAATATGTTGCAACCCGAGTTGTTGCAAGGGGGGGAGAATGTTCACGTCTCTGTCCACCGAGCCTCCAAAGCTTTGGCCGCTCTTGCACTCCCGCAAGTCGGCTCTTCGCGCACTGCTCATCGGGCTAGTCTAAGCGCTCCCGCGCCCACTCTTCGATGTTCGCGAACGCCCGCTCCCGAGTTCCCGAGCTTCGCTCGCTGCTAAGCGAGCTGAGGGACGGCTAGTTCGCGCTCCACTTCTCGGGCCCGCTCTCGCACTGTTAAGCGTAGCTTATCGGTCGGGAGCGCAGCCCTTACATTTAAGCTATTTAGTACCATGTATGCAGCGCAATAAAGCTGATGATTTTTGAATTGCCCACGACGCCCCCGCCTTACTCTTCACCTTCGCTTGCGACGTGGGAATTTTCACTTGGGCTACATTTTCCAGGATCTTTAGCGGCAGGATCGCCCCCTACAAACATTGGTCCTTCGAGCCGGATACGGATATCCTTCCGTCCTTTCACCAGCAGTTCCCGGTGACTTTTTCGCTAAAGATAAGTATATGCTTGATTCCGTCTTGTTCTCGCTGCCGGTCTTAGACAGTGGGCCGAACATTTAATTTCGGTCGCACCGCTGCAAAATGTATTGTTTTGTTCGTGTCAACTCTTCGTCCGAGTTTTCCTGACAACACGGCAGTGAGAAATCCCACTATCTATTCGCCTCCGAACTTCGAAATTTTCCACCCGTGTCCGTTTTGTATGCGCCGCCATCCTCCTCGCCGTCTCTTCGATTCCCCGTTGTTCATCCACTTGCCAACGGTCGAGGCCTATGTGCAGCCACATACACACACACGCATTCTAAACTTGTGCTAATATTTCCGTTCAAAAAATTCTCCGTGAACAGTGAAATTGTGTTACAAAAAGAAAGTCATAATTAATATCGGCCAGCCGGTGTACGCTTGTTGCGGGAATTCACCCTGATCGCCGAACAGTCTGCCGCTGTCACGATATTTTTTCGCTAATTTTTTGTGCTGTATCCATACACATTTTTTCTGTTCGCACAATTCAATACAGTCCACTTCTCGACGCTCCGCTGTGCCAATACCCACCCTACATATTTACATACCAACTTATATTGGGCGACATACATATGTATATATTGGGCAAGCTTCGCGCTATTCTGCGCTGAGCATCGATCCCCCAGCTATTACATACATATATACACACCCGCATAAGGGCATATCAAGCGATTATTTGTCCTCTTCGTGCCTAGAGCGTTTACAAGCACCTGCACTTATACATTCCACAGCCGAACAGTGCCTACGAGACAAAATCCGCCACCTACAACTTTGGAGAAATTTCGTAAACCAAGGATTTTAAATTATCCGAATTTTATTTATCCCATTTTCTTTTATATCAAGGAAATACCAATTTACACACCTACATCCATACATTGGGCAAGCTTCGCGCTATTCTGCGCTGAGCATCGATTTCCACAATCTACATACATATGTACATATATTGGGCAAGCTTCGCACTATTCTGAGCTGAGCAGCCAAACTCAAACTCAAACGAGAGTGTTTTTTTTTTGGTTTTAATTGTCTTCAATTTAACCGGCGCAACGGCTGTGTTGTTGTTGCCCTGTAGTTCTTTGGGTCCCCCACTCACCACTGCTTTGCCGATGGCTTATCCCAGTAAGCTCTTTTCCGCGATCAAAAAACGGATGTTTGTTTTTTAATTCTACCTTCCCGGCGCTTAAATAATTAAACATCTGCGGCTCATAGTTCAACATCCATCCAGATCCAGAATTTAAATTTGATTAATTAATTTAAGTTAATTAATTTTTAATTTAACCTTTTCAACTTAGCCGCCGCAAAGGCCGTGTTGTTCTTGCCGCTTAGTTGTTTTAAGTTCCGCACATATGTACTGCTTTGCCGACGGCATGACCCATTGAGTTTTCTCTCAACGAAAGCCAATCGTTCATTTCGACCATTTCGGATCCGTGATAAATAAGTTTGGCAACAATTACTTCCGACCAATACGTTCCTAAATCCGTATTTAATTTATTACGGGATCCATCCACAATTCGTGCCCAATTTTCTGAGCAAAATATAAGCAAACCTCCACGTCCGAAATATATTATATATTCTAAAATACACAAGACTTTTAATTTCAAATTAAAATTATTCCAATAATTTAATTACGGCCGATTCCGTCAATCCGTTTGGGAAGATCCCAGTCCGCATCTCCGCGACCCTCTCCGATTAACTTAAAATCCACTGCTCGACCACAAAAATGGCTCAAACCGCCATCGACATTGCGTTGAGGAAGTTTATTGCCACTATAGACCGTGTGAGTCAATTCGAGGCAAAGATCCAATCTCTAGACGCCCCACAAACCACCCAGCCCTCTCCTTCCACGTGTAAAGTGCGTCGCGATCAGATTCGAGCACTGTGGGAAAAGGTCGAAAGGGATTACGTTATTTGTTCTGAACTTATATCGGCATCCGGTGAGAGTAACACCATCGGGCTAACGCTCCAGTCCAGATATGAGCATTGTTTCTCGGTCTACGAAAGATGTAGTGCCGACCTCCAAGAATTAATGCAAAAGGGCGCTTCTCAGTCCGTGCCGATTTCCCCAAACTCGTCCGTCCCGGAGTCCGCTGGTTGTCGCCTGCCACCGGTGGACACCGAAACTTTCGCTGGTGACTGTCTTCGGTGGCCCACATTCAGAGACCTTTTTACGGCGGTTTATATTCACAACTCGCGTCTCACCCTGGTGGAGAAATTGTTCCACCTACTATCCAAGACAACTGGCGAAGCGCACGCCATTGTTTCCAAAGCCCCGCTCACCAATCAGGGGTTCGTCGCAGCTTGGCAAAGCCTCACCGACCGCTTCGAGAACCGGCGGTTGTTGGTCAACAGCCAGTTGAAAATCCTTTTCAACATCCAGGCTATCCCCCAAGAGTCCGGCAGCGCGCTAAGGGAGCTGCAAAGCACTATCCAGAGTTGTCTAGCGGCATTAGAGATGACCGCCATTCAAGTCGAAGCCTGGGACTGCCTCCTAGTGTACATGGTTTCCTCGAAGCTCCCAAAGCTCACGCTCTCCAAGTGGGAGCAATCTATCCACAATAAGGACAAAATTCCAACTTGGAACGAGCTAGACGCGTTTCGACGACGTTACGCCTACCAACTCAAGGCATTTTCCGCCAAAATTGTCGACTCCGAGGGTCCCTGAGCCCCGGCTCCATTCTTCCGACTTCAGAGTGACTCCAACACCCAGCCCAGAAGGTGTGACCTATGTTCCAGGAAAAACCACTCCCTGCGAAGATGTCCCCGTCTCCTTAAAATGACCGTAGTCGAGAGGTCAAATATCATACGAAGAAAGCAACTCTGCTTGAATTGTTTGGCACGAGGCCATCAGTGGCGGGATTTTATCCTACCCATGCCGAGTCTGCAGCGGAATCCATCCGCTTCGAAAATGCCACAAGTTCCTCAGGCTTAGTGCTGAGAAGAGACTCAGCGCGGTGTCCACCAACCGCTACTGTTCCAACTGTTTGGCCCACGAACATTCCCAAGGCAAGTGTCGCAGTGGTGACCGATGCAAGACGTGCAATCAGCATCACCACACGCTCCTGCATATGCCGGGAAGTCCAGTTCCCGCACCCCGATCGCAGCATCGGATGACTCCGTGCTCCCAATTCGCTTTATTTACTGACCGCTCTTCTAAATGATACATTTTTTTTCCAGTCCGCTTCGAGAAGATGCCACCGCTTCGCACCACGCGAACGCTCTGATCAGAGGTCCAATCCAACCGATTCCGAGGTTGCCACCGAACTTCATCCGCTACCGACGTCGACGTCTACTCTACGATCCTGGGCCTCTCCCCCGCCCTCCTCAGCCACAGGACGAATATGTTGCAGGACGAATATGTTGCAACCCGAGTTGTTGCAAAGGGGGGAGAATGTTCACGTCAGAAGGCCCTTCGCGGCGGCCGCGGCGCCGCCTCTGTCCACCGAGCCTCCAAAGCTTTGGCCGCTCTTGCACTCCCGCAAGTCGGCTCTTCGCGCACTGCTCATCGGGCTAGTCTAAGCGCTCCCGCGCCCACTCTTCGATGTTCGCGAACGCCCGCTCCCGAGTTCCCGAGCTTCGCTCGCTGCTAAGCGAGCTGAGGGACGGCTAGTTCGCGCTCCACTTCTCGGGCCCGCTCTCGCACTGTTAAGCGTAGCTTATCGGTTGGGAGCGCAGCCCTTACATTTAAGCTATTTAGTACCATGTATGCAGCGCAATAAAGCTGACGATTTTTGAATTGCCCACGACGCCCCCGCCTTACTCTTCACCTTCGCTTGCGACGTGGGAATTTTCACTTGGGCTACATTTTCCAGGATCTTTAGCGGCAGGATCGCCCCCCTACAAACAATCAACAAATTTCTCAACGGCCGGGCCATGGTACTACCGACGACTGCCGTCTAGACTACTGCCGTAACTGTATCGTGGGCAGAGCGTCGTAGTAGAATTCGCAGTCGGCAGAAGGTCGACTCGGTAGAAATCGCAGTCGGCAGAGCGTCGCCTCGGAAGAAGTCGCAGTCGGCGCTTTGATGACATGTTGATGACAGTGGCCTATTGATGACACGCGGTACTGCAGGGTAGTGTCACTGAAAAAACCCTTTGCAGACTTTTTACTTTTTTCAGTCAATCGGTCTATTTTGCTCGAGAGCAAAGGTAATGAAAAATATGGTTAACAGTTATTAGCAAGCTATGCTCGCACCCTTTTGACAGTAACAAAAAACAACCCGGTCATGAAAAATTCAGGTGTTGTAAGTACCGGTACCCGAAAACATTCGGGTGCCTGAGGACCACTGTTTGGGCGGTGTACTTGGAGTTGGCTTTCTGCAGTTCTCCGATGTGGATCTCTATGGGATAATGGCTTAAAGATAAAACACTGGAAGATTGATATAAGAATTTATGAGGCTAAATAGCTTAATTTATTGAATATTTTAAATCAACATTGGCTAACCTCCTTTAAGAAAGCTAACTTTATAAATCATCCTTTGGTATACCCAACTCTGAATTGCTCCATACTTTTGGATTTGGATAGTCAAACTCTCCCTGTACAAAAAAAGAGGAACATTTAATAAGTTCTTTTTTGAAATATGAGTTTATACCGTTATATGGTCGGGTTCGTGCCACAAGTGCCAAAGAACCCACCACCACATTGTTGCGCCAACAGCTACAGCTCCAATCCTTGTTGCTTTTGAATGTGGTGGTGGGGCGTTACGATAAGAAACTCTACAAAAATTATGTAAGCAAAAATTTAAATTTTTTTGACATTACCTACACATGGCTGTTTCTTGTAAGTATTTTATTTCCAACGATCCTACGGTTAATAAAACCGATCGATGTCTTTAAAGAAACAATTTTATGAGCAATGCTCATGACTGCAAGTTGAGCAATTGAAAGATTTAAAGATACAAATAATGCACTAGTCGATTTGAGGGTATTAAAGCGTCAAGGCAGTATCGGTGGGTTAGCGTCAAATGTAGACAGCTGAAAAATATATAGGGCATTCCATTTTTGATTCAATTGCATAAGAGACGGTTTATGAACGTCGAAAGTGGAACATTGAGAAAGTATTTTTGGATGTCTATTTTAATTTGTTCACTAATTATTCTCTCTCTGCCCTGAAGTACCATTCATCAGTAATTAATCAGCGATTCTTAAATAGTCGAGGCGGTGTTGATAATTCATTGTTTAATGTCCATATAAATTACTGATGAATTTAACATAGGCATGACCTAGGCTGTAATGAATAACAATTCATCAAAAATTTATCAATGATTCATAAACAAATTAATCAATAATTAATCAACAAATTCATCAACAATTCATTAAAAATTCATCGATGATTCATCAACAAATTCATCAACAATTCATTTACAATGCAACAACAATTTATTAAAATTCATCAACACTCTTTAACAATTCATCAACGGCCGAGCCATGATTCTGCCGACTAGACCACATTCGTAACTGTATCGTGGGCAGAGCGTCGACTCGGTAGAAGTCGCAGTCGGCGGAGCGTCGACTCGATAGAAGTAGTAGTCGGCGCGTTGATGGCTGTTGATGACAGTGGCCTATTGATGAAATTTGGTACTGCAGAGTGGGTATAAGGGAAATAATATAAACAGGGATGCAAAAAAATCACTAGTTCTATAATTTTTTTGTTGTAAAGATTAATTCGTTAATAATAAAATTATTTAAATCATATTTCCTTTAATATTTACTATCTTACCAAACCGTCATGGTGAAGCAGTTGAGAATTTTGCAAATGTGAAACACATATTCCCACTGAGCACATCCACTATCTGATCACAAAAGCTGTTGCCTTGAAGTGCGGTTTCGAAAGAAAACGTTTGTGTAGATATTTTCAAAATATTATTACAATATTTTAAAACATGAAACATCAATGGTTCAACAAATTTAAATAATATTTTTTAAAATGCACAATATGGTTGTTTTAAAAATACAGTAAACAAGTAAACCTGGTACCAGCAAATGAATATTTTTCCCGTATTGACAAGGACCATGAGGTATGAGTTTTAAATCACAAGAGGCATTTAAAATCCAAAAAAAAAAAGTGTTGTTGAAAGGCGACGGCGTTATTACAGAAATCCCTTATTTAACATATTTATATAAAAAATGGGCCTACTTTATTGTATTTATGTCCAAACATTTATTTTTATCGAATTCAATTAATTATTATAATATTACACCAACACCTCTTACACTGGCAATTGTTCCCAAAATGCAGAATTCCTATATGCAGTCTTATTAGAAACGTCGCATAATTTTATATCGAAGAGTAAAATAAACCACATGGAAATTCTCCACAATACATGAGGTTTTAAGTGTTTACCTAGAATGTATGTATATTCATATGTACATATGCCGTTGTTAAATAACTAAATTATTTATATTTTATTTCTACGAAAAGAAGTTAACATGGAACAGCTAATAACTTCAAAGCTTCAACAACGTAAAAGTCGTGCTCTTGGATATCGGCTTCTTATCTGTTATCTTAAGAAAAACAACATTCAATTACGTGAAACAAATGTACGACATTGGCTAACCAAAATATTAGAATCACCTTACTTAGAGCTGCGGGAGCTTGGAGATCTTATATTTATTACACTATGTAAGTTTAGTAAGTCTAGAAAATTGTATTTTTTAGTAATGTTATTTCCCGTTTTGTGTGTGATGCGTATCTACATAAATACATACATACATACAGTTTGTCAAGTAATTCTTTGTAAAACGAAAAATCCCTCACAGTTTTGGGTTTAAACTGAAAATTTATTAACAAATAAAAGAATTTTTTAAAATACATACATACATACATACATATTTACATATATAAATATGTATATATGTTTGTACTTGCATCACGGCAATCGTGCCAAATCCAACCCTCGCGCTCTATGTATTTTGCTGTTGGTTGATGAAAAAAGGACGAAACACATAGGCCTGTCAACAGTAAAAATCGGCATGTTGATTCTCTTGCACTCTCGCTATTTCAATAATAAAAGCGGGTGGGTGTTTATTATTTGCGTTTTAAAATTTGAAGGAATAATATATGTACATATGTATGTATGTACATACATATTTTTTTTATCTGGCAAAACGTGAAAGGTTAAATTGTAAAATTCGCGTGAGAATTTTTGGTACAGCAGTAAATGCAGTAAATGTATGAAATAAGGTGAAATTTATGGAAATACAGTACGTTAGTATGTCAAGAAACTTTTTACACACTGAAAATTAATAATATTTTTTGACTTTGCATGCAAATATAACACTTTTAGTAGGATTCTTTAATTTTTTTTTTTCAATGGATATCTATTTGTTGGAAAATTCTTAATGAAAATATTTAAAAACATAAACAAAACAATTCAAGATTTAACAAAAAATAACTTTTCACATTTTTGACACTGTCAATAAACTCTTTACACAATATACAAAACTTACAGCTAAAAGGATATATTTAACAAGTTAAACAATAATTATATTAATTTTAGTACTTTGTGTTAAGTTTAGGGGGATTATCTTCGTAAAATTTCAATTTCGGCTTTTCTTTGGCCATTAAGCCAAATTTCCTAGCACTCTGCTTCAAATTTGATTGGAGTATGGAGAGATACTGCTCAGCATTCATAGTGCTTTTTATGAATGCGAGCTCCCCGTCTCCCTCGCTGCTTATACACCCCCAAACCATAACCGATAATTTGCCATATTTTACGGAAGGCACAATGTTGCGCTGGTTTAACGCGGTTAACGGCTTGCGCCATACTCTGGAAGGACCATCGTTGTAATACAGCATAATTTTAGTTTCGTCGCAAAAGATGACGTCATCCCAGTAATTTTCCGGCTTACTGATCATCTACATAGCGAAAGAATATCGCTTCTGAATGTTTACTGCGGATAGCAGCGGTTTCTTTCGCGCAACTCTTGATGAGTATTTGTTCCGTAGAATCAATTACTTCCTCCAACTCCTTGGCAAGGGTTCTGGTCGAGATTTGGGGACTATGACGCATCATACGCATGATGAGGCGTTCTGCCCGTTTGTCTATCTTAAACTTCCTGCCTCCTCCAGACGTTTCTTCCAGCCTTCCTTCAATTTTAGCCCGATTTAAAACATTGTAAATAGTTTTCCGGGATACCCGAAACATGTCGGCCAACTCAGCTGCAGATTTTCCAAGTTGGTGGTTAAAATAAACCAACTGGACCACGTCAAAGGTCAATCTAGCTCCAGGCATTTTTAAAAATTGATTTTGTCGCTTTTTGTTGTGTCCTTTGCAAGATTTTACAATAAAATGAAAAGAATGCATCCATGTTGATGCGAGCAAAAGGGTAGGTAACAATAAAGTACCGTTTTTTTCTCAAGAAGGATCAAACCAGAATGGAAAACTAAAGTGTGTAGAGTTTCTTGACAGTGCCAAAAATGCGTAAACTCATTTGTTGTTGCTTTGACACTGTTCCTTTGGTTGTTTTGTTTTTTTTTTTTGTACATACTCATTAAAAATAACCTATTTATTAGTTGTGCATTTAAAAAAAAATCAAAAAAATTTAAAAAAATGTGTAATTTTTCCATGCAAAGACAAAAAATATTTTAAATTTTCAGTGTGTAAACAGTTTCTGGACATACTGTAAGTGAAATTATATTAAAAACAGTGGTGCTACATATATGGGAAACAGTGGAATTATAGAGGTAACCGTGGAAAAGTTGAGTAAAGTGTTTTATATTAAGAAAACTAAAAGCTAACATTAAAAATATCGAACTAAATTATACAATTAGGAGCGAATTATATTTTTCATAATCGTTGATATCGTTAACGTTGATTAATTGTTAAAGACATGTTAATGAATCGTTAATCGTTTATTAATTGTTGATGAAAAATTGAATAATTATTGCTGAATTGTTGATGCCATTCTAGGACATGGCCAAGTTAAATTTATCAGTAATTTGTATTGACATTCATCGATGATTCATCAAAAACACCGCCTTGACTGTTGATGAATTACTGGATGAGTGATACTGCATTTCATAAAAAAATTTCAACTTTCAATCAGAAATGCCGAATTAAACGTATTTTAGACAAACATTTTTTAAATTTAAAGATTAAAGTAAAACTACTAGAGAGAAAGACAACATACATATGAGCAATTCTTCAGAAAGGTACGCCAAAAACTTAAAATTGCTTAAAAACTAGTATTTTTAACATGGTTACATAAAAAATTGGTCAAATTGATCAAGACTAGGAGAATTTTTCATTTTCTAAAATAAATATCAAAATAATCTATGTCAAACACGCGTAAACGTAATTTATGTTATTTTTATTTAAAACAAGAAAGGAAGCTAACTTCGGCACGCCGAAGTTTATATACCCATACAGATAAAACTTCGATGTCTAGGAATCCATAAAATATAAATTATATATATTTGTGTTAAAAACAATGAAGTAATACCTGCTTTCATTTCATTCACCTATACATATTATATTTGCAGCCTTACATTCACAGATTTGCATTTTTCCTCTACATCAAACGATCGTTTGTTTGGCACCCATATGATATAGTTGTCCGATTTTCATGAAATTTGACACCAAATTTAAGACTAATAAAATGGCTATACCTCAAATTTGATGAAAATCTGTTGAAAACTGAAAAAGTTATAATTTTTAATTGTATTAATTTCTCGATCATTCCTATGGCAGCTACATATATGATATAGTAGTCCGATTTTCGTAAAATTTTACACAAAATTGTAAAGTATAATAAAATGGCTATATTTTAAATTTGATTTCTAATTCTATTCAAAACTGAAAATGTTATAATTTTTTTTGTACAAATGTTCCGATCATTCCTATGGCAGCTATATGATATAGTCGTCCGATCCGCCCCGTTCCGACATATATACGAGTGAGAGTATATAGAAGGCTAACTACAAAGTTGCATTCA